CTAACTATTTACCTAACTATCTACCTAACTATTTACCTAACTATCTATCTAACTATCTACCTAACTATCTATGTATTTCTCAATCTACCTACTTAAAGGGTGATCCAAAATTTTAGTACTTCACAGAAAAATTTCTCTTCTCTGTCTTATAAAAAATCGAAAAAAGCTCAAAATTTAACTAATAGTCAAGCAATATCAGATAAGTATCACTCTAAATATTCACAACTAAAACTCAAGCTATCGTGAAGACGTAACTCCAAACTAAAAGATTTTTTTCGTACCATCTAACCAAGTAACCGGTGTCCATGATAAACAGATTTATTTTCGACCTTTTTTTCTCAATTTCTAATATGTTTCTTGAAAAAAATATATCAGAAGATGGCGCGTCAAAATATCTCCAATGTACAATAGAAAGCTTATTTTATATATGATCTTTTAGTGTTCAAAATGGATGAAAATGATGAAAAGAGAAAATAAAGAAAAAAAGAATTCATCATGTATAAAAAATAACTTTTTCGCAACATCAGAATTCACTCACTTCGAAATCTGCTGATTTTGAATACTAAAAGACCATATATAAAATAAGCTTTTTATTGTAGATTATAGATCTTTTGACACTCCATCTTCTGATATATTTTTTTTGCAACAAACATATTAGAAACTGAGAAAAAAAATACAAAATACGACCGTTTATCATGGGCACCTGGTTACTTAATTAGATGATGGGAAAAAATCTTTTAGTTTGAAGTTATATATCTTCACTATAGCTTAAGTTATAGTTGTGAACATTTAGATTGATACTCATTTGGTACTGCTTGACTATTAGCCCAATTTTGAGCCTTTTTTATTTGTTATAAGAGAGAAAAGAAATTTTTCTATGAGATACCAAAACTTTTAGACAAACCTTTATATATCTATTTATATATTATTGGGAGCAGAATTCTAGCGGTGATTTTACTGAGATTTGTCATGGGCTTCATATCTTCTTTAGCTTCATCATAGTAATACAAAATACGCAAAGTGAATAATATCTAACAGATAATAGTTGCTTTTCAAGAATAATCGATCCTTAGAGAATCGATCTGTCTTATTTATTTCTGCGTTTCTAACAGAATTTTTTTCTTTTATTTTTTTTACTGGCGCTTCATTATTTATTTGCGTTGTTGTCATTCGCTTGTGATTTACTTTTTTTTATTTCGTTTTTCTTAATTTACTATTATTTTTGTTCTTGTTCTAACCAATGATTTACTTGAGAAATTAGCACGTTGTACATCTTCAATGTATCTGTGACAGGTCTCAACCCACTACTATGGACCTTGATAAACTTATCAAATACTGGTTTTGATGGTTCTCTCAAATTAGAATTTGATCAATTAATACTTTTTGTGTTGCTCATATGACGATTGTAGTAAATCAATACATCACCAGTTATCATCCATCTTTTATATGTATCATATACTCATTAATTTGAGCAAAAATCAGAAACCGTACTATATATAGCATTCAAAAACATAGTCCAACCATTTAAATTTCAAGGAAAGCTTTGAAATGTTCTAGAACAATCTGAGCCGTGTTTGTTAATACCGTTCAGCACCCTTTTCCGTTGCTAAGGAATCATGGAAAAGGAGTCTGATGCTTGTTATATGTTGGTTACTATGGCAGAATTTGCGTCCAGCGCTCTTTAACCTTCGACCACGGCTGCTAAGGCTTGTAATGAGGAAAGATGAGCCTCAAAATCTCGCATTTAAACTTATACTCAGTATTTTTCTTCGAAAAATATATGTGAGTTGCACAAAACGTGTTGTTCATTGAATTGTAAGCTTGTGGTAGCCGTATACGACTAGATACGATCGCGCACGGTGATATACGACCGTATACGGCAGTCGTATAACTCCGTATACGGAGTACAGATGTTTATCTTTTAATCATTCCGTATTTTTGTACGATCTCCGTTTACGGAATCCGTTTCTCACCGTATCGCTCCGTATACGCGCATCGTATACGGAAGCTGTGCACGACCTCCGTATATCTCCGTTTTTCTCCGTAAACGACCGTTTACGAGCGTGCATGTTCGACCTGGGAACCAGATATATCTTCTAATCTTGCTTGTTTATCATAACGACTTTTAACTTCATCATGTCGACGAATACATGGAGTATATTTTGCTCCTAATCGAATTAAATCAGTTGGATGTGGACCAAACCATGGATTCATTGTTAAATCAAATTTTTTGTTGTTCAGTTAAGGATGAGTTATTCTTGAATATATGTTCTATTATATCAAAAAATCCAAAAAAAAAAGATTGTTACAGATTGAGTTGATGATAATGGAGCATAACCATAAACAATTAATGAAACAATACAAACACGAATTTGAACAAATATTACCTAATATGTAAAATAAGGACGATGTGAACGATAAGATTCATGAATATCTACTAATTTTTTTTGTTTTTGTTTTATTGATTGACTATTTGAACGTGAAAAACGAGAAAAAATAACATTAAATGGACGTTTTTTAACAATATCTAAAAATTAAATATTTTATTAAAAAATAAATAATAAAGATCAATTACTTTGTAATATTTGTTGATTAGTAGAAGTATTAGTTCGGGATGTAACAATAACTGGAGTTGGAACATGATCATTATCTATTGGTATATATTGAGTACTAATAATAAAATAAATTTTTCTTCTTGTTATGATTTGATGTTTTACCAAGGATATGCATCTGTATGATCATGTTTATCAATGCAAATCGGTTCGGTTGTTATTAAACCTTGTTGAATAGTTTTCAAACAAACATTTGATACTCTTCCTTAATCATCTTCATCGTTTTCCTATAATCAAAAAAAAGTTTATTCCCCTTGATAATATACAAATAAATAAAGAAAACGGGTCGAAATTATCATCCAAATCTTATATGAGAGAAACAACATAGATTTAGTTAAGATATGTACTTCATCGAATGTTGTTGATGCACGTATCGATTTCGTCCGTGACATCTCATCCACCTTGAAACAAGATTGAATTATCATAAAAATATTAAGATTAAATAACTACTTACAGTAAATAAATTATGAACACCACTAACAGTCATACCCAATACTGATTCACGTTTCGCACTTGAACCTTCAGAATCCATACTATCAAACGTAATAACTTGTGTTGTTGGAATAATCGGTCTTTAAATATATTAGATTAGCAATTTATTCAAGTACAAACAAATGTCATTATCGTACCTTTGCTCAACATCAGTACCCTGTTCATTAACACCAATTTGATCGGCAACTTCGTCTTTTAATTCTCCACCAAACATACTATATTTACTAAGAAAATTATAACGTCTCTGTTGCCAATTATCTTTATGTACTGCTGGAGCAGCAGCTGTGGATAAAAATGGACTAGCATTTAGCTGCAGTACACTAAAATCAAAAAACATAATAGAATAAATAAATAATTCTCTATCAAACGAAAGATTTTCTCTATGATCTCAAAATGATTTTGCAGCATCTACTGATCATGTCGATCGACTTGTTCCGATACAGTTCATCTCTTTCTTACAGGAGCTATTGTTACATTGCTCCCGTATGATTATCGAAGAGTTAAACCAGTAGAAGGTAATGGTATTTGTGACAATAGTTGTCTTGTACGTCCCATAGTTGACACTGGAAAATCATTATTCTTATCACTATTAGCTATTTATTTCATTCGAATATAAATCTTCAATTTCGTACAACACGTTTCATACGAAATATTCAAATAAAAATAAAAGAATTTGCGCAGAGAAAATTAAAACAAGACATGACATCAGTTATTATTTTTAAAAACAAAATGTGTTATAATAAGTTTATCATACGAGGAAAAAAAAAAACTATTATTCAACTCTCTATGATAAGAAAAGAATCCCATCTAATATTCGATCGTTAATAACGGGAAGTGAAAAAAAAAAAAGGAATGATCAGTGTAATTATTTTTTTTTTGCTAGTTAATGATAAGAAAAAAAAATCGATTATGCACGATGACATAAATGATGAATTTCGATGGTTTACAGATGAAAGACAACTGACTATACAAAAATAGAAAAGATTAATGTTAACAAACATAGTTCTGTTCTAGTAAGTGTTAGTCGATGGATTTAATAATGAAAATAAAACGCAATTAGATTTTCTTAGTTACCGACAAAGGCTCGAAGTATAGGAAAAAAATAATGCAAAAATCCTCTTTTCTAAGCAATATTTTATTATCTATAATTTAATATCCAGATTGGATAGACAATAGTTGGTATAGAAGAAGAAATTTACTTATTTAATTCTAAATCACATATAGACTGTTATTGATACTAGCTGATTTTAGATATAAATAGAAGGACACATAGTAGAGACAAAACGTTGGAAAGCGCAAGCAAATGATTTGTCGTTGTGCTGCCTCTTCTGAATAGTAATAATACTACTATATATATATGTGCAGCTGCTATTTTCTTTTTCTTATTTTCCTGTTCCGTCATTCGTCAGTAATAACAATAATATTAGTATATGGAACCACTGGAATATTTTCGTTTACATCTAAATCTCATAATAAAAACCATGAATAAAAACATTAATTAATACAGCTAATTGCTTAATATCATATATATCAATGAAATTTGACTCTCACCTGTTTGTTTTATTATTGAAATCATTAGTAATAATAATTGTTGGAGCTGATGATGAAAGTAATGTATATTTATTATTTTCTATTTCATCTTTGTGTTCAAGAATTTCCTTGTTGTCAATATCATTAGTTAATAAATGATAGTGAACAACTGATGACATTGATGATGTCATATTATTATTAGTAGATGTTATTATATAATTGTCATCAACCAAATAGTCATTATGTATATATGCTCGAAGTAATAAAACTACCTTATCGACTACTTTCTTCGAAACCATTCGATATATATGCGTACGAGTATATCAAAGAAAAATAACCTCTTATTCTCGTTCCATATGTGCAAATAAACTCGTTACTTAGATAGATCTCTTTTTTTTTCTCTTTTGTTCTTTTTTCTCTATGACCTTATTTCCTATCAACATCTCCATATCGTTCTTCTTTTTTCTTCGTCATAGATCACAATCACTGTATAGCAGAATTTCTTGCAGATTCGAGTGTATCTATCATTTTATATATTGGTAGAATGATAGATAGATTATGAATAATCTATTAGTCTTTTGATTATACGGTATCTTCTTTGATAAGACTGAAAAAAGAAGATGATTTTCTAGTGATGATAACGAATGAAGAGATCAAATTCAGGATGTTTTCTATCATTGTTTCTCATGCAAATTTATCCGGAAATAGGTTTTTATTCTCAACTGTTCAATTCAGAAGCAATATATGTTGAGTATCATGTAACAAATGGAAAACTTTGAGAAAAATTATATGTTCTATTCGAGTTTTACTTATCATAATCAGACGCTTTTCATTGAATTATGAACGAAATTATATAAAAATTTATTATTAATTATCTGAGTATAAATATTTTATGGTAGGATCTTATTATTCGTATCTTGTTTTGATGATCAAATTCTATTAACCGAAGGCATATCAAGAATAGTACGATAGAATAAGATTATAAATGAATGGATTGAATTCTATGATGAAAATTGATCTAAGAAAATTTACCGTTTTGTTAAATTATGCCATCTCATTGGTTCATTAACAGTAGTTGATGAAGATGTAGATGATGGTTAGTTTTTTCATGTTCAAGTACACTTTCAACAGCTAAATTCCATAATTGATGACTACAGAATAAATTACCAATTGAACTTTCTTTGTTAATTGCACTATTCGATGACGGAAACGATTTGTTTGATTGAAGATCTACTATAGTAGGTCTTCAATCAAACAAATATTAATGCAATGGCGATTTTGTTTGTGTACATATGTACACAAAC